AAAGAGCGATTTTTAATTTTAAACAGGTTAAAATGTGAAACTTGTTTTCAAAATAAATCTAGAGCTCTGTAGATGGAGTATGACATTTGGTAGAAACACACAAATTTTCGCGCTACTATGAGGGAAAAGACAACACTGACCAATATGGCGACTAGAAATTTTGAACGATGCTTCTGCTAAGTCGTCTGCAGCCGTATTTGCTTAAAGAAGATTTCGTTGAGTTTAAGACATTGTCATGGCACCAAAAGATCGGCCATGTGCAGCGGAGGGCTGCTTGTATATATCCAAGGCAAAGGAGGGGCTGCCTATGTTTAAATTCCCCTCACAAATTGACCGGTGAATATACTTAACCTGTTACCTTATTGATGGCAAGCCAGTCAAAATAACATTTTGCTGGAAATCTTATTTGTGACTGATATTATTTTTGCTGGGGCTGTCTCGCACAATCAATATCCTGTGGCTTTTCTCTCTCAGTTTATTCGAGTGGCTTCAGCCTTGTGGCAATGTTTCCTTGCTACAAGAAGACCCTGCCAGCCTCCATCGTAACAGGTATCTGTGTCAGAATCACTTTGAAGAAGCAATGTTCACTAACCGTTGCCGTGTACTGCTCCACCGACATGCTGTCCCTTCAATATTCTCTGGCCCACATTTGTCAAATGAAGCTATGGCAGCTTATAAATCTAAGTTTGGTTGGTTGCTTCAAACTTTATTCAATTTTGTCATTAGGAGAAAAGGTGAGATATAAATAAATTGGCTGCCAATATATTTTGTGTGTTGCAGTCACCAATGAAATTGCCAATGAAATTGTTACAGAAATTCAGTCTAGTGATCACGAACTTGCTAGACCAGGTGGGTAATTGTCATATTTCTTCTACAAATTATAATAGTCTTGAATTTGGTAAAATTTTCCCCTCTTATTCCTGTTGACAGCAGAAAAAAGACCTCATGATGATGCAATTGAACTAGATTTCACACTTTTCACACTTGCTCCACCAGACCCTAAAGTGCCTAGAGTGGAGCTGGAAAGTATTTATCCATCTAATTCAGGAACTAGAAGTGAGTACTCTGCTATTTTTAGTTTGAAAAATTAAGCACACCTATTTACCATTTTGTTTTGATTTTGATTTAGGATCTCCAGAAAGGACTGGGGCAAAAGTGCGAGTACCCCCACCAGAACGTAAACGAAACACCCTGAAGAGCATCGCTCAGGTAGAGTGCTTCAAAGCTGCCCCTCCTCCAGTCCAGAGGGTTGCAAAGACTGCCCAACAATATCTCAGGATGGCACAGGACATCAGGATTAGGTTAACTCAGAGTCAAAGGAGGTGTGCAAGCCTGTCAAAAATTGCAAATAGAAGGCATGTGGACATGGTGGAAGAGATGCTTGTATCTAAGACTGCCAGAAGAATTCTAAAAGCTGAGCTGCGGAATTTCCAGAAAAAGCCCAGGCGAAGGACCTGGGATTTGAATGACAAATTGTTTGCCCTAGGGATGTACAAGAGAAGTCCCAGAGCATATAGATATCTGCAGCAATATTTAATTTTGCCCTGTGAAACCACCTTAAAAAATATGTTGAAAGATATTCCACTTGAGGTTGGCATTTCTAAACCCTTGCTTTCACTCCTGACACGGTCTGCAAAAAAGTTGCACCCTAAAGACCGCAATTGCTGCATCTTATTTGATGAAATCTATCTGGTTCCTAATTTATCTTTAAACAACTCAACAGGGGAAATGAAAGGTTTTGAGGACTATGGGCATAGGGGTAAAACCCACCTTGTTGCTGACCATGCCCTGGTTTTCATGGTTCAGGGTTTACGGTCTAAGTGGACTCAACCAATCGCCTTTTATTTCGTTCATAAAACCTGCCCCTCTGATGTGCTTAAATTACTTATAGAAGATGTTGTCCGTGCTGTAAGTGATTGTGGCCTGAATGTTCTGGCCACAGTCTCTGACCAGGGCCCAACCAATCGAGGAGCTGTGACAGAACTCAAGTTGTCAACAGGAGCAGATGACATCTTCTATAGCATAAATGGTAAGAGAATGGTTCATATCTGGGATGTTCCTCACATATTAAAAAATGTGAGGAACAATATGCTGACAAGCTACTTGAAATATGAAGAAGACAAGGTTGCAGACTGGTGCCACTTAATTGAGTACTTCAAGTTGGATGAGTCCCTTTGTAAAATGAGCTCTCTGACCTATAGGCATTTAAACCCTCAGGGAAAACAAAAAATGAAAGTAAAAACTGCTGCTGAGACACTGAGCTCCTCTGTTGCAGGTAGCATTGAAACAATTCACAAAGTGTCCAATGGTGAAAAGTTGAAGGATTGCATGGTCACTGCAGACCTGTGCAGGAAAATTGACTTCTATTTTGATCTGACTAATGGACCCTCCATGTCCGAAAAAAAAGGGAAACCAACTCGGTGCAATGTCACTGCTTCATCTCTCCATCACAAGGAATGGCCAGCTATGATCAAAAGTCTTGAGAAATTCAGGTACATCAGAAAAAGCACTGGAGATGTGCATGTCCCTCCTTGTATTAAAGGCTGGATTGAAACAGTAAAAGGAATGCAGTGGCTGTGGAATCAGTTGAAAGCAAAAAACGTTGGTGTTTTAAAATTGAGACAACTTAACCAAGACGCCTTGGAAAACTTATTTTGTTGTGTTAGACAGTGTTGTGGGTCAGGAACTGACCTGACCCCCAAACAATTTATTGGCGCCTTGAAAACTTGTTTGGTTACTAGATTTGTGGGCTCTTCCCGTGACAAAAATTGTCTAGATGATGGATCATATATTTTAAATGATATGCGTTGTTTGCTCTCCTCAAATTGTTCATCACAGGACCCAAGCCCTCACCATCAGACCTTATTAAGGGGGCGTGGTGTGCCTGCTGAAGCAGAAAATCTCCACTCCTTGACAAAGCAGGTCTCAACGTTCATGTGTGCTGCAATTTTGAATAGTTATTTAAAAAATTCATCATGCACAGTTTGTCAAGGAGTGCTTGTCACTAAGGAGAAACCAACAGATTTGTGTTTTACTCTCAGTAAAATACATTATAATATGAAGCAATTTATTACATTTTATCCATCAAACTCATTGCTAAGGACATTCAGTCATGCATTCAAATCCTTCGACAACAACTGGCAGCAACTTCTCCAAAATAATGCAGTAGCTAATGTTCAAGAGCACCTTAGTGAGAACACAGATTGGAGTTGGGTCTCATGTCCGGACCATGCAGTCAAAATGGAGTTTTTAAAGATTGCAGCTGTCCATCTTCTAGAGAGAAAGTGCAAATTGTCCAATGCCAAGAGGAAAGAGGGGATATTTAAAAGAACTAGGCAAACACAGTTTGGTGCTGTCAAAAATGTTAATGGGCTTCGGGAAGATGATGATGAGTTGCAGCTGCCTGCCAATGATCTGGCTCTCCTAATGAATGCCCAACCAAAAATAGGTGTTTATATTATTGTCACTGACTGTTTTTATATATGTTTCTGGTTGGCATATAATATACATTCTGTAACATTTGTGCATTGCATGTGTGTTTTCACCTCATTTTGGGATTTGGACACATTTGCACTTTCTATCACAATGACGGGCAGATGCAATCTGAAGGAATTCCCTTAACTTTATTATCCTGACACTGGGGTCTCACTTTGTTGGTGTCTTGATAATAGCAACTCATCCACCATATGTCTACAAATTTCCTCTCTTTATTCGTTCTTTTCAGGTTTGCACATCATTTTGTAGTCAGA